CGCCGTCGAGGTCTCTCGTCTGACCACCATGGCCTGGGAGGCGTCAGTTTCACGGAGAATTCCCTCCTTCCACTTCTTTTTTTTTTTTTTTTTTTGGGGGGGGGAGAAAGAGACGTACCCGAGTAGTGGAAGAATAGAGAGTCGTTGGACTGAGCTCCCTTTACCAACCAATGCATGGCGCGCAGGATATTCTGCTTGGTAGGCTGGCTCATCTGGTTCTGCTGATCGTCGGTGAGGATGACCATGTCCTCGCGCCGGTAACCAAAGTGCTCGGCCAGGTAGGCCGTCATGTTGCGGACGTCATTGATGCATCCGCGCAGCTGGCCACGCTGGCCAAAATAGTTGATGCCGATGAGGAGGGCCTTGCGGCGGCCGGTGCAGTTGGAGTAGCGGTAGGCGTAGCTCTGGGGTGCACCCTGGCCAAAGTGCTGGGGCTCCGAGGGGGGAGGGGCTGCGACGGCTCCGGGTCCGGGAACGGGGCTGGGGCCTGGTGCGGGTGCGAAGCCGTTGATCGGGGGTGCGTTGGGGTTGGGGAGATGTGGGTGGGGATTGCCGACGATGGCGGCGGCGGCGGCGGCGTTGGAAGGCGGGCCATTGACGGCTAGAACTCGGTTAGCAGCAGTCCTCTTCGTCCACGAGATCCTCCGTGTCTCTTCTCTCCTCTGCTGTTCCGTGTCCTTGCTTCTCTCTTCTCTCTGCTCTCGCGCCCTCTTTCCCTCTCTCTCTCTCTCTCTCCCTTTCTCTCTCCCCCCCCCCCCCTCTCTCTCTCTTCGAGTGCTAGGGCCCGAGGGCCGGTGACCGGTGACTTACGTGGTGCTTGGTTGTACGGTGAGGTGGGCTGCTGCTGATGGGGGGGAGACTGATACGGGGCAACAGGAGCATAGTGCCCCGTCGGCGGGATTTGTTGCGGCGGAGGGACAGGCTGTGCGGATCTGTCAGTTGGGTTTTTCAGTAGGGAGGGAAAGATCAAAAAGGCAGGGATGAGGGCGAGATGCTTGAATGAGATCAAGAAGTCTCCTCCCAAGAAGCGCTGAGGGGTACAGCTGGAGCGTACCGAGTAGCCATATTGTGGTTGCTGCATCGGGGTAGCCGAGTAGTATCCTTGCTGAGGATGCGGCGGCAAGATCTGTTGTGGCGGGATCTGCTGCGGCGGGTAAGAGCTGTAGGTCGGCTGAGGAGGGCTGCAGGGAATGGTCAGACGGATAGTTCACACGAGTCTGGGAAGAGCGTATCACGAGCAGAACCGATCCTCATGTAACGCGTTTGGCAAGGTCCAGCGACCAGGTCCAACGACAGGGTCGCATGGAGGGATTCGCCTCGAGAGAGGAGAGGGGGG